TTGTGTTTATAACACTCAACAGAATTCCAATAAGTCAGCAATTTCTTCTACCAGAAACCATTTTTGAAACCTCAACAACTGCAATAAGAAAATCTCACTGAACTGAAAAGGACTAATAGAATTTTGAGTCATAACTTTTATAAATAATTTTACCTTCCCTATGGGGTATTTTAAAAAAGCAAATCACTGGTAAGCTTTGGTTTGTAGTAGAGAGTTGAAGCCCTCCCCACCCCCTCTGTTCTCACCAAAAAAGGAAAAAGGGAACCCACAGAAGCTTCTATAGCCTGGGGCAGAGAGATCTGCCAAAAATTAGGCTTGAAAAGTCATCTTTTAGAAGGGCAGGAGTTCTGTTACTTTCTCTTTGCTTGCTCGCTCTCTCCCCTTCTTTTCTTCTGTGTTTCATGCAACATTCTTGACAACTCAGCATAGATACACATGAGCTATTAAACAGCCAAGAGAGGGCCAGCTTCCATTGACAGGGGTCCTAAATCTTAACATTCCAGGCCTAAGATCCTGCTTGAAACCATCTTGAAACTTTATTTTTCACAAATAGCTTAAAATTGTTGTTTTATAAGCTTTAATAGCTAGTGGCGTTAATTCCAAACTTGCAGTTAATATAAGAAAAGACTAACCTAATTAGTTCTATTTATTTGGTGATTTGCAAACTAGCACTGACTACACTCTGTCCAGCCCACCACTGAAATCCAGGGGCTTGAATATCTCCCAAATAGGCCCACAAATAAGAGATCTTGAAAAAAGTTTGTACTACACCTAACATTCCTTTCTAGAGGGGCTGTTCCTTTGGATCTTCCCATCATTTCCTTCCAGTTTCCCTTTGCTGACATTTTCCTAGGCTTCCTGTGCAGAGCCTTGTTTCTCCTTGGTCTTGTCAATAGTCATGAACATCTGCATCGTCTAGTTGAGCAATTTGAAGCCCCTCACTTCTACTGCTTGTTTCTGTCTGTTTCTGCTGCCTTCTCTCCCCTGATTGGTCTGGATGGCTTTGAGGGGGCGGGCAGTGAGGGGAGGGTCAAGTCCGGTTTCTGTCCACATCCAGCTTTGGTTCATTTGTCTCCTTAATGCCCCCCTGCCAGTCCCAACCCCCACTAAGTTTTTTACTCATATTATATATAACAAACAATAATAGCAACAAAGTGACCCAAACTATTAAATAATAATGGGGATTCAAGCCTCACCATGTACTGACAACAAGGCCACTCTCTCTATAAATCAAACAATACACATTATAAAAAAGGAGGATATTTTTCTGGCCAAAAAATACTTTTGGCAAGAATCCATGACATTTTCCCCTTCTTGTAAGAAAAGTAATCTGCATTTCTTATAGAAAAATGTACATCATCACTTTAAGCTACCTTCTAAAATGGAGCTTACTTATGGTATATGACATTAAATAAAGTTGGACACAAAATTCTGTGGTTTATATTATCACAATTCTGTAAATATAGATGCATAGAAAAGTACTGGTAGTAAATACACCAAAATGTAAAAGTAGCTGCTTTTGGGTGGGAAAATTAGAGATGTTTTCTTTTTCTCTGCTCTTTCTAAAATGTCAAATTTTTCTACTGTGAGCATTTATTACTTCTATTATTTAAAAAGATTAATTTTTCCAAAAGTCTTATTTAGCATGATACCATATTTAAAATCTTTTCTGGCAGTTGTGCCAAGTCCACCCTCTGCCAGCCAAACCTGGAACAGCAGGCATGGCTCTGCTTCATGCCCATGGGTTCAAAGTAAAAGGACTTTCCAAGCAGGGAGGATTTTGTCAGCCAATTCCATCACCACCTCCCCCAGCATCTCTCTACCTCCCTACCACCTTCCCGCATGAGCAAAGTTAAAACATGCTCATGCAGTTCTTATCTTAACAAGTTTCACCAATCCTTCACTATTTCCATAGAAGTACTCATACAATGTCAGTTTCAGTCAATAAGCCTCAAATAATCTTCATTCTAATGCAGACCTTGGCTGATAAATTATTGCAGGAAAATCAGCTTCAATATGAGTCTCACTAAATCTGGTCTTTCATGTACAACCTCGCTCGTGCTCTTGAACATCACCTGCTGAGAGAGCAGGACTGACACCTGCCAGGAGCTTCTGTAATTCACCAGACACTGGCACTCTTGTTTCATGGTCCACGAGCATGAACTTAGCTTTTAACTAGAAACCTTAATTTCTAACCAGGCTCATGGTTATATTTTTTCAGATTTAATCTTTCAAAAGCAGGGTTTGTATGACAGCATTTAATCAAGTCATTGAAAACTTTGCTGATTCAGTGATGGTTTATGTCTTTGTTCGTGGTTGGGATTCCAATAGGGCAGCCAAAGCTCAGCCGTCCCCCTGCACTCACACAGGTTGTCCACTATTCCTACCAGATGCTATTGCCCCTTCTCCTTGACACAGTATTTGCTGCTGCCTACTACTGAACTTCTATCACTTAATCATATTTAGTCCCATATACTTGAGCCAAATGGACCCTTTGTTGTTTAATTTCTGCATTGACCCATTTCATCTACATTCTCTTTTTCCATTTCCTCCAAATGCTCTGATCTCTCCACTCTATGTGCCTAAAATGTGAAGGAACAGCACAACCCACTCTCCACCATGACAGCAACAAAATAGGACCCCAGTTCTCCAAATGATAATGCTTCCTTTTGAGCAAAACACCAGGGCTTTCCAGCATCCACAGAGAACGGATCACCACTCCTGGATTCACCATAAATGTAGTCTCACCACTTGCTGAAGTGGCTCCAGGGCACTGGTTTGGATGAGCTTACCAGCTATTAACACCTGAGACATTATCCCTCCCATCAACAGTCACTTTTGGCATGTGAACTATTGGCCTGTATGATTCTTGATGCTCTGATGGGTCAACAATACAAAAAGAACTTCAAGGGCAATAAGTTAAATAAAATTTAAAAGTCAGTTTCACAGCCATATGTCACACATCATGTACTCAATAGACAAACGTGCTCACTGGCCACCGTTCTGAATGGAGCAAATACAGAACATGTCCATCGTCACCAAGTTCTCTTGGGACAGCACCAATATAGCTTATGAAATCACACTAAACTCACATTACAACATTTTGAATAAAGCAAGTCAACAAAGACATATACCTTGACCCTACATTATCAGCATTTCCTTACAAACTGACCAGAATACAAAACCATATAAAATAACAAAACAGTTTGGAAATGGCCATGGAGAGAGCCATTTCCAGTTCCAGACTCCAGCTTTCCATCTGACTGCTGCTCATAGCTTGCTGCCCACTCCTGTCTTGAATGTGTTTTCAAAAATCTATTAATCATTTTCTTTGCATAAAGTTAGGTGACTTAATACAAAAAGTTTAAGTGAACAGCAAAAAAAAGCAAATTTCTAGCACAAGGAGCAATTATTCATGGTCCATTTCATAAAGCACTTGATTGAAGTCATACACATTTGTCTCTCTTGAATCCTTCACTACTTAATGACGTTACTGACAAAACACTCAGATTAGGTCAGGCTACTACAGTTTCCTCAACACGCGTCTTCTTACCCAGCAAGTATTATTAGTTTGAGAATGGAGTAGGTTTTCAAGACTAAAATTAAAAGAATCCTGCTATTTAATACTTTTAATAGCCAACACTCCTCCCCACCAGCAATTTGTCTTGGTAAACATTCTTCAAAGCTAACATTCCTGGGAGCATGATGCAATTTGTAGATGAGACATCCTGTATGCGTGAGCAACACCTATTCTGGCTTCAGTGACCCACAACAGTCATCTTACAGAGATGTTTGTTTTCATTTCTCTTTCCTCTTTCCCCCTTCTAGAAGTAAATTATTACTCTTTCCTTATATAGCAGAAATATTGAAGGTGTGCACACTGCTTGGTACAGTCCAAGTTTCTGTTGTAGCTCTAGCAGCACCTCTCGCAAGGACATGGAGCAAACCACCCCCAGCTTATCGCCGAGCAGCACAGCCCACTGACGCTGACGCTGCTTTCTTCTCACCCTGCCTTCTTCCTCACGATTTCCCAGCTGCTGTAACTGCTCTGGGTGTGCTGACCTGGTGTGCCAGCTGCGTACCCCCAGTGAGCCCCTGCACCACAAGGCTCCGCAGCCCCCACCTTCTCTATGAAACTCACCCTGGGCACTATCTGGCCATCCCTGATCTCACAGCAGCCTGAGCACTTCACCACCACCCCTGCTGCCCCTGATACCACACCTCAGCTGCTCCTAAGACTGCTCTGCTCAGGTGCCTTCCATGTATATGAGCCGCCTCCGCTTCGGGAGCCAGAAGAAACCAACAGGGCAAGATCGTGGTAATCTGCTTTCCACTTTTCAACCCCAGAGGTCTTCCAGACCACCCAGGTGTCCAGATACCGTATCACCTGACAGTCCAGCCTGTGTATGTCCTCAAATCCCCAAAAGCTTTATCAGGCTCCAACTCAAAGGAGAAGTCAGACTAGCCCTGGAGAATTACAAAATACCCAGGGAGATTTGGGGAGGTGCCCACAGAGAACTTTGAACTAGAATGCATGTGAGCAGAGGAGAACTTCCAGATCCATGGGAGAACTACCTTCACCTTGCCAAGGGAGCCACTGGTTCCTTTGAAAGGGCACCCACATCAGAATCAGGCCCCAGGACAAACATCTGGTCTTTTCCTGAGGCCAAGGAGTAAGATCAGAGCTCAGATCTTAGTTTGTAATCCCAGGCTCAGCAACAAGGGGTTCCCCAGTGGGTATCAAAATGGCATAGTGGGAAGCCTGGGAGTTCCAGGGCCAGGCAGAACAAAATTATGAGTTCCAACTCCACCACTTACTCTCCACCAGTCACTTCACCTAACACTAGTAGTACCTACATCATCAGAATAACAAGGTGACATGTGACAAGCCCTAGGCCAGAGTCCAGCTCAGAGTAAAACTGCTCAGGAAAAGCTTTCGTTGCTTTGTTTTGATTTGTTTTGTTTTTTAGATTGTAAACAGTAAATCTCTTGGAACATACCCAAATGTAGACTGTCCTGGCCTTCATGTTCATTTAGTTGGGCCACCAGGCTTTTCACACACTGTAAAAGATAAAGTCAGGCAGGATTTTAAAAAATCACTTATGTGCCATACTAATGTTTCTTTATTTTTGTAAACTGGAAAAATGGCCTTGGAAAACATCAGTAAAAATGTATTATTTGTACCACCACACAAATGAAAAAATAGCCTGGCACTTAATATTATTTTAGAACTAAAAATAAGGAAAGGATCTTTCCCAAGGTGTAACATGCCTGAAAGCTATCCATATGTTATTTTATTCTCAGAAAATATCTCCCAGGTTTACTCTTGCAATTGCATTCCTGGCAAACATCTGCAGCTATCAACCTTCAAGCACAAATTTGTTTTGGATAATACATTCAATCATCTTGCATATACAACTCCAACCAAGAAAGATAACTGGGTTTGGTCAATCAGTAGAGTCTGAAAATTCAATAGAGGAAACTGAATGTCAAGGTATTCCGAATGTAACTTGGGGCACATCCCTGTTTTAGGTTGTTTTTAAGTTTTTTTAACCAGTAGAACTTCGCTTTTACTTCAACCTGGAAAGAAGAACAGAGAAGAAAGGAGGGCAGGGCATCATTACCTTTACATTCTCCTTTTCAGGTGGTGGTCTGCCAGAGTCCAAATTCTTAATCTCTGCAAAGGGAATAATTTTCATCAAGATACAATAGTAGCTTTCATTAGAAAAAAGGAAAACAAAAAAGAACCAACGTGGCCAGTAAAAACAAGCTGCCCAGCAGCTGTGTGAACAGAGCTAGGTTTTCAGATGAGGCTTCTTAAAAATCAGCTCTCTGCAGAGCAGAGCATCTGATAACCCGATTCCTCATGCTCTGGTGTTATTTGTGTGGACCAAGACGTAAACAAGCCCAGAAGCTCTCACAGGAAATCCTGAGGGGAAAAAAAGATCATTAAGCAAATAAATGCCCTTGATTCAGAAGGAAGGCTGCTCACAGACTGAAGGCTCTTCAAAATAGCAGATTCTAAGGACGTGACTTGTACCCACCTGAGGAAATCCCACGTTTCTGTTTCCTCAAATACCACAGATTTCGTATGTTTCAAAAAAATGTGATTCATCCGAGGGGATGCCTTTCCTCCAGCATCACTGAACTTTGAGAGCACCCTCACAGCCCTTGGGCTCCAAACTTGGACAGTGCCAGGTTGAGCTCCGATGAGCCGTAGGCACACGGGAATCCTCTTCCTATAATAAAGGCTTTCCTGGAAACATCAGTGGTCAGGATGTTCTCGGATGAACAGGGAGGTTCACTTAAGGAGCATCTCCTCTGTGTCTTGACTGATTGGTTCTCTTCCCAAATAATCATTTGCCCATAAAGAGCCACTGTCATTGAAATAGCTACGAAAAGCAGGTTTGGGCCTGGGGACAATAAACATGTAGGGACACCTCTAGCAAGGGCATTCAGCTAAGAATGTTTACCTAGAATTTGATTTAATAGACAACATTTTGCACCCAAGGCCCTCCTCTAGACCCCTCAGCCTCTCTGTCCCTGGGATCCCATTGAATGCTGATCCCACTGAAAGCGCCACTGATTTTCCCAGCAGGTGCATTAAGTAGACATTCCCTATTCCTCCTCTTTGCCACTCCTAGTAATTCAAGTCATCTATGGCCTCAGCCTCCAAGTAGATTTATTCAAGTTCTTTTTACTGCCTAGCAACAATGACTTTCCATACAAGTCATAATAAAGCAAGAATGGAGCAGAGAAATCAGCTTCCTCACTGTCATATAATGTTTTTAAAAATCTGCATAACGGTACTTTGAATTTGCTTTCTATCAAATGAGTAATAAGATGTTTATACTGTATAATAGTATACTGTCCTTGAATTCATAATACCTACCAGCTATACAATGAAAATGTAAAGGAAATAGCCTCAGTTTCATGTGGTCATGTCAAGTGACCTCAACAGGGAATAGGGGGCTAGGTGGTGGGTGACACCCAGCCTACGCAGCTTTTGTTTCCTGTAGACCCTTCCTCCCTTTAAATGCACGCCTCACACAAGGCCTCCAGGTGGCAGCAGAGCAACACCTGTGTAACCTGGTCAGCTAATGGGTCAGCTTCACACTTTAAAAGCCTGCGGTTTAAGCACCAAGCTTCAAAACACTAAGATAAAGCTTTTCAGCCAACTGCACAGAAAAATCGCTGCAGAAAACTGATGTGAAGCACCTATGTTGTTTACCACATTACAGGAACATACAAGGGGTTTTGTTTTGAAATATGTTTACACAAACTGTAAATATTGGAGAAGTGGGAAAGATACCACCAAGGTGTTTAAGATGTTTTAAAAAATAAAAGGAAGGGGAGGGTAACCCGAACCAAAATTTCAAAAGACACATCTCCATAGACATCAGAGTCACACATTTTTTTCCTTGCCTGTTACAGGACATTCCTTTAAAGAATTCTGTAACTACAACTGATACAGAAGAATAGTATGCATTTTAATCAAGACTGCTAATCTTGCAGTAATAAAAAATATGTTCACCCTGATAGTTTTTTCATATTCCACCCCTGGTGGTATTTTCAGATCCATCTCCCTGCACTTTTCAAAAAGCTCATCTTTATACATTGTCAGCCTTTTTCTTTGGAGTCTGATAAAAACACCACAAACTATTTTAAAAGACAGGTCCATAAAATTTGTACATCACTATTTTACAAAAACCTTTCAAAGTTACAGAACCTTTATCCTAAAATCATTAAAGTATTTGTGACAATGTATATATTCAGGATAATAATGTATCTTTAATTGATCTAAGCATATGCAGAACTATAACTTAGACCTTTCAGAGAAGCTGGCACCCATTCTACCAGAGTTTAATTAAATTGCTCCAGAAGAGTTCCTGAATTACTAGGATCCTTTTACACTCTCCCACTGAACCACCAATTACACAGTGGAATCAAACCACTTGTTGCTATAGCAACCTTCAGCAGATACCGATATCAGCAACCTCAAGTGCTTCTGTTTTACACATTAATCATGCCTTCAGGACCCACGCAGACGTAGGATTAGCCCAAGTCAGACTTACCAAATCTAATAAACATGGTTTTTCTGGCCAAACTATAACAGAACAAGAAATTATCTCTAATATTCATGTCTACCAGTGACTGTACCACCCAACAGGGTTTTCAAAACAGGGTTCAGTAGCTGTAACTCAGAACTCCCCAGGGTAGTTCATAGTCTGAATGAATCCTTTTCTCCCAATAGACTGAGTTCTGGGAAGGTGGAGTCCAAATCAATTTTGGTCCAATACTTGTATCCCCAGTGCCAGCAGAGAGCCTAGCACCTTATGGGCACTGAATAAATGCCTCACTTCTCCACCTAGATCTGGTGGCCCAAAATAGCTTATGAGATGTGGTAGATCATTAGGTGAGCTGTGGGTCAGGAAGGCAAAGTCATTTACTTTTTTGAACTACTAATTCAGACACCAGCAGTGCTATTTATATTATATGATAGCACTATTTTACACAACTGAACTGCCCAACTGATCCAACAGATGGCCGCTTTTCCTCTGGTTTCCTCCCACTTGTCCAGCCAAGTCCAAAAGCCTCCTCTTCCACCAGCTACCCACTGGTGTCTGGCTTATAACAACCTGTCTCCCAGGTGTTTCTTCCATGTTTTATCCTATGGGCGTGTCTGATTCAAGTCACCAGAGAATTTAAATGGCAAAGGGTACAAATCTGAGAAATTATTTACCACTCTGAATTCAATGGCTTTGAAAAGAAAATTATAACTTTGACCTTTAGTTTCAATATCCCCATCACTCTCTTTTTTTCTTTTTTCTACAAGTGAGAATACTATTAAGAACTATCCTTTGGTCTACCCATGATAAATGTGGACTGGGAGAAACAGGCACTTATCTACAGAACTATCTACCTGAATCCATTAGTCCACAAGCCCCAACACCCTACTCAATTAAACAAGTTCAACTGGGCTGCTACTGAAGTGCAGGATCAGCAGCCAGGGAGAGGGTGTCCAGGTGGGAGAAGAAATTCCTGCCCTTGAGCAACTCCAAAACATGTTCTGCAATATAACTTCTATGTTTGTGCTCTGTGGTCTTCCAGAAAGAATTTAAGGCATCTTTTTTTTAATACAAATTTTAATGTAAATTATTTGTGATACTTTGAGTGACAAAATTTAAATTTTTAAACCAAGAAAATATCATTGTTACATCTTAGTACATGTCTTACCTATACATTTTTATAACAGCTTCACTGAAGTATCATACCATACTAGTCACCCATTTAAAGTGTACAGTTCAATGATTTTTAACATATTCAGAGTTGCACAACCACCACGATTAATTTTAGAATATTTCACCACCACATTCCCATTAGCACTCACTACCCATTTCTCCCCAATTGCTCCCACCCCTCCCCAGTGCTAGACAATCACTAATCTACACTCTGTCTTGATGGACTTACCTATTCTGGTTATTTTGCATAAATGGAATTATATAATATGCAATCTTGTAACTGACTTCCTTCACATAAGTGTTTTCAGGGTTCATTCATGTTGTGATATATCAATACTTCATTCCTTTTTATTGCCAAATAGTATTCCACTGCTCAAACTACATTTTGAATATCTAGTCCTCAGCTGAGGGACAGCGGGTTGTTTCCACTTTTTGGCAATTATGCATAATGCTGCTATGAATTTGTGTACAAGTTTCTTGACAATGTATGTTTTCATTTCTCTTGAGTATCTAGGAGGGCAATGACTGGGTCATAAGGTGATTATGCTTAACATGTTTTATAATATAGATTGTTTTACCTCTCCAGTATGCATGTCTCCTGTCCCCCACAAAATCTCAAAGAGTAAACAATTTAGTCATGTGGGAAAAAATGATACCCTCAGCCCAAACCGCAACAATCAAACAAGCTCTAAATCACTATATTTCGTACTGAAATCAGGATATAATTTTCCTGATTTACTCAGTTGCTTGAATAAAACCAGGCAAGCCATCTTTTAAAGATATAAACAAGATTCGACTTTGTTTTGGGAATACTTTTATGTCCCTAAGACTTCATAATTAGATTTTACTTCAGTTCAGGAAAGAAACTCTTTAGCCGTATTTTCAACTTAAGCTTATTTCAACTATATTAGACTCCTCATTTGATACTTAGTTAATGTTTGCTTGCCCCCTACCCAGCTACCCTGACGCTGTGGGAACAAAGTATCCACAGCAGATGCAAGCAGGATTCGCTGCATCTAGGTGAGTTCTGAGGAATCTGACATTCTTTCCTGCTCAAACTATGATTCTTTAGATCTATAATAAACTCAGGGAGGCAAGGAGAATTTTTCTTCATGTGGGGAAAAACAGTACTATTATTGTAATCATCTGTAAAATAAATATCATATCAGCTTGATATCCTATTTGTATCCTTTAAAGAACCTCATTTTCTCCTCCTGCGGGCAGGAGGAGAAAGTGGATCCACAAAATCAATCCGTAAAGGAAGTACAAAAAAGGCTAAACTGCTCTGTAAAATGAAAGAAACAATTACAAATCACTTTCTGGGGCTGGGAGGTACATTCTCTAGGTATGATTTGTAATAAATAGTCTTGAAAATGCCAAAATAACCAACTTTGAGGTGAACAATGCTGATCAAGTCCTTGGATGGATATTCCAT